ATTATTCAAATTCTGATTTTATCTTATTAACCTCTAAATTAATTTTTAAAATTTGTAGATTTTCAAGTGGGTCGTAGAAAAAATATACTGTACAACTCGAGTGGATTGTCCATATCGCACTCAGACGATTGAGCACTCTGTCATCGTGCTCAAATTTCGTCTTCGTGCGATATGAGAATCATATCCTCTTGTTGCACAGACTACTATTGTATTCATTTCTAAAAGCTTTCTTCGTTTATACATTTTTTTGGATTTCACGATAATAAACTGTTATCCAGTAATTGTGCATTAATAATGGGGCACCTCGTAGGGTTCAATTAAAATATCTAAATTTTTCTTGGTACCTATATATTTTCAGACGCTTTGGCAACACAGTTAAAGTCGTAAATGAACGGGTCATCCATGTTTGTCTGGAGTGTCAACTAAGCAGTCACCGATGCCAAAATAAAGCTCACTGGCATTGTATGCTAATTGGCTACCGAATGTGCTGCTTGGAAGCTTGAAAAATTAAAATTTGTGAGGTTATGTTAAATATTAGAATTTTAAGGTTGCGTATAAGATTGCGACCTAGCAGGAGTGTCACAAATAAAGCATCTGATTCGAACTGAAATTTTTCAAAAACCTATTATGATTCCATTTTGGAGAATTGATAATAATTCTACAGTAAATTTCTCTAAAAATTCAGTTGCAGACGGTGGTTTCGTTTCACCATAAAAAATACCAATGCTCTTTGGGGGTATGTTCATATTTTCCACTGAAAATAATATTGGCCAAATTTGTTTCTTAGAACTATTATGTATGGGCAGTCGGTCAATGTTAAAGTTTAAAAGTACCTCATCAGGAAAATGTTGATTTAATTTAAATATTTCTGTCATTGCATTACCAAGTCCCCCATGCCAATACTGACCATTTCCCATTGGCTCAATGGTAATTTTTCTTGGTGTTTCCAGTAAAATTCTGGGATCGTTTGGTATGTTTTCTATATTCATTTTATGTAACACTCCCAATAAAGCTTTCAGTGCAGTATGTGGTATGTTAAAATTCAGAGCCCATTGCCGCAAAAGCTGAACGTTACTTTCCACTATATTATCATTATTCTCAGAATTGTCACTGTCCTCGTAATCAATAAATTCAAAATTGACTTCATCTATAATTTGATTATCGATTTCCTTAGTAGATATTTGACGAGTATTATCCTGGCGAGACGAAGAAGGAAGCTGGACCATATTGAAACCCAATTTCTTATTATTTGGATGCACACTTTGTTTACTTTTATTTAGGCGCCTATTATATGCACCGGTCCGTCCAAATTTTCTGAATTTTGATATTTTACCAAATAGCACAGTATTTTTTTCCATGACGCTGTTTAGTCCACAAAAAGGATTTGAGGTTAGCAATATTTGGTGATTTTTTTTTTATTTTATTGCCATTTAAAATCCAGATTAATGCCAATATATGACTTCAAAGCATAGTTGTTAGCAAGCAGTAAATGAGGCATTAATGTATGCAATAATTCTAATTTAAATGCCAACTAGCCGCGCTTTTTTTTGGCATTTAGAAAAGCAATTAATTCTACTTTTTGATGAGTGTCTGTGGCCTGTTGGCAATAAAAGCCAATTCGCTCTTATATTTAGTAGTCAAAGCGATTTGACTGCTTCAAACGAATTCTCAAATAAAGCCTTAATCAAACGCTAAAAACGGGCTAATCTTTGGCCTTTTTTTCGCATTTAATGCTTGTGCCAGCATTATTTGCTAGTAGTAGAGTTTTGTGTTACATTATAATGTAACTCGTTTATATTTCAGATAAAGTAAAGTAACTCTAGTTAGTACAAAAAAATATTACTTACTACCGGTGCAAAACTAGAGTAACTAAAATTTTTTGATTTTTTCAGGTTTTAAAGGAACGATTTAAAAATAAGGTAACTTACCAAGCTTTAGAAGTAATTACCTTTATAATATGTATTTTTAGTTTTTTGATATATTTTCTAAATATTTCAAAAACAACTTTTCGGCGTTTCTGAAAAATAAGTTTTATCGATTTAGTTGGATTTTCATCTAGAGATGCGATATTTTGGTTTCAGATTTTAACTAGAAATAAGCAAAAAACAACTTTTTCATAAAACCATGAGAGTACCTACATATAGTTATTTTGTACCTACCATAATATTGTGTAGGTAAAACAAGGAAATCTTAATTCTTTTAACATTTTTTGTTATAACGTTTTACCTATAGAGATAGAGCCGATATATTAGATATAATAAGACATAACGTCACCTATAATGTTTGGAAGAAAGATTTTACAATTTTACGTATACCTACAAATGGACAAAACTCAACAAATTGTTACCGATTTCCCGATTTGCATTAAGAATCTACAAAATGAAGGTAGGTAGGTACTTTATTAAGTATATCAATTTCATTTGCTTTTAAGAAATAATAATAGTTTTACTATAGTTTTTAAATAAAATATTTCACCTTTTTTATTGTAATTAATCTTGAACTTGAAAGGCGTCTCTACCAAAAAGGAAAAAAATCACGACACAAATCTTAAATGACAGACATAGCCAACTATAGATTTAAAAAAATTATTGGTCAGATATAAGCCGTATTGCCGCACTTTATACAATTTTTACGAAAAATAATTTAACTATAAATCAGTTTTTGAATGATGAATAGTTTGTAAAAATGATTTTGTTTTTAATTTGATAGTACTTACCTACAAAATGGACACATAAAAAAATGTTCAATGGTTTCTTTTGTCTAAGGTTATATGTAAGATCAACTTCTGATAATTTGCAGCAACAAAAAATTCTATTATGGTGTTATGATATTTAGATACCTAATACCTTATAAATTGCTAATTACATAGTTTATTTATATAATAACCTTTAAGAAAATAATAGTAGGTATAGGTAATTTAGATACATAGGTATAAAGCTAAAATATTAGAATAAACCATGGACAACCCCAAAGCTTTTAGCGACCATAGAAAATATCTTACCTTTTTATTACAGATATTCCTTTTTAACTTTGATGATATTGTTATTTAAGTTATTTTTAATATACAAAAACAATTTGCGGCGTTTTTTATTTGGCAATTTACACATAAATCTCATGAGAACTCACGAATAAATTATATATGCACGTAAATGACAGGTTACCAGAGCCAACTATCAAAAAAAATTATTTGAAAACCTCTGAACAGACCAAGCTGGGTTGCCGCTTTTTACAGTTCTTGCAAAAATATAACATTCAATGGTGGAGTGCGTTTAGAAACCACGCACGACGCGTCTGATCACATACATTAGAGGTCCAGACGTGCCGTGCATGGTTTCTAAACGCACTCCTGTTATACTACATATTTTAAAATATTATACTGTAACGTTTATTTAATAAAAACAGTTTATTTATAACGTACTAATTAATTGATTTAAAACTTAGGCACTATTATAACTCATAATTCTAATTTATTTATTACAATTTATCTATACAACACTTAAATTGAAACTTAACATCTATCGACAAAGTCGCGTCTATTTATATAAAAATCTGATGTGTCCAACACATGACTTTTCTATCTAGTTATTATAGGCTTTTTCCGGTTATTTTGTACAACCTATTGCAGCACCTCTATAAATATTTAGAGGATAAACTAAATTAATATATAATAATAATATAATCAACCAAAAAAGTCGTGGGCAAACGCCCTGTGGTTTAATTGAAACATATCTATCTACTGTTTGTTTTAAAATTAGGGTAACAACCTAATTAAATAAGTAGTTTGTTAACAACAAGATTTTGAAAATAAAAATAGTTTGTAGGTACCAATTTGTTTAGTAGGTTTCTTAATTCAGGCATCCGTCGAGTACCTATATACCTATATACATAAAAAAACGTTTGTTTTTTGTTTTTCAGGAAGAGGAAAACACAATACCATTAAATTGTATTTGTTATTTTGCTTACGGTAGTTTACTGGCCAAGAGAATGCATCTACTAAACCCAAATGATATTAGATTTAGTAAAGCAATACTACAGGTATAGAAAGATTTGTTATTGATTAAAATCATACAGTTGGTCAGTATGCCAATAATAATCATAACCCAAGAGACCACTGTAAATTAAATATGTCACGAAGGCATGTAAAAACATTGTACTTTGCCAAATGCCACCTGTGCCAATCACTATCCTGAGCAAAATGGTTAAAAAATACCAATGAAAATAGAATTCAATACAACGATTATGTGGTTATATTAAAATTTTATCAACTATATATAGTTATATAGATTGATCATACATATGTTTTTCAAAATAAAAATATAAGCTCATGCATTGAAGTAACAATGTAGGTAAATATTTTTACTATACTTAAAGGCTGAAATTTGATTTTAAAACATATAGGGCCGCTCGCAATGAGACCCGCTTTGAGCAATCACTGACCCTGTCAAAGACATTGGAATGCCCGTTTTATTTGGTTGCATACATTTTTTTTAGATGTATGGATGGCATCAGAGATGTATATAATAGGTCCATCTGTAAGGTGGGAAGGGTGGATCGCTCCAAAGCAATTAGGCCTCTTAAGGCCTATTGTACATCCTCCAAAGGCATATAGAAGCTAACTCTCAACTTGTCTAAATCTATAGGTTGGCACTAAAAGGTGTCGAGAGACAGCCAGCTATCTTCGCAGCTTATCAAACTCCAGCAGAGGTTATCAACTAGTCAAAAACCTGCTAGTTGACGCCGAGGGGTATCTGGGGATAGCCAGCATTTCAGGTCAAAGTTCTGTAGGTTAATAACGTCGCCGAGTGGTTTTTAGATGCCTCTTTTTTAAGAATGTTGATTTAAAAAAAATGTTGGTATTACTGCCGTTAGAAGGATATGGTTGTGAGACTACACTGCAGGAACAGAGAACAGTCGAAAGGGATGCCCATTGCCAGTGTCTGCATTTTTAGTACAAATGGTAGCTGCAGTTAAAGGGATATTAATTAAAAAAAAAACTAATTACAGTAGTATCATTTTATTAACGATATTATATCTTACAAATATAAATGGACATGAAATTATTGGGTAGAATTTACCATGGGCTTGGACCAATCGGCACTGAGAATAAGATGATCATAACCATGTCCATCCAGCTTTGAAATAGCATGAGCCGCGTCATTTCGGAACTTGAAATGAATGTAAGCAAAACCTTTGCACAGGCCTGTCTGTTTGTCCTTGGCCAAATAAAGCTTTTGAAGTGGTCCAAATTGCTTTACCAAATCTTCCAAGTCCGTTTCTGTGGTAGAGTCGCTGAGATTTGCAATCCTAATGGCTGAGTAACTGTCATCTCTCTTGGCCATATTAGAGCCACTCTTTGCAGCACCTTCTCTCATGCTGGGAGGAACATACTTCGAGCCCCCTTGTTTACCAGCTTCACCAGCTCCTTAAATTAAACATTAGATATTTTAAAAATAAGCTGTATAAAAACATCTAATTGTTGCCAATAGTAGAAAATGAGGTATAACTTACCACCAGGATTAGTAACTGCTGATAATTTCTTTTCATCTGGTGCTTTTCCTCCAACCAAAATGGTATCTTTCCAGGGACATTTTGAGGTCCAATGGTCACCATTACAAGTACGACATTTAACAACATTTTTATCTCCCATAGCTAAAATTATTTTCAATTAATAAATCTTTTTGATATTTATAAGATATGTGAAGAAGATGTGTTGTAACAGTAATTTATTGAAATATTTTTATACAATAATATAATTTTAGTACTAATTTTGCCCATATATGGTCATCATTAAGCCTGAAGAAATAAAAAAATAACAAAAAGGAACTACAAAAATGTTTCATAAAATCAATAAATCAACAATCAACTTGTAGAATCAAAAATAAAGTAGAACTATGGGGAACAGAATTAACATAGTAAAAGGAGTGGACAAGAAGAAAAGGGTGAAAACTGAAGTTAAGGAAGGGCAATTTGTAAATGTAAAGATCACCTGTGATACCAGGTAATCCTTTAATCTATACATTCATATCTTGTTCATCCTTATAACCTTCAGTTTTCACCTATTCTCTCTTCCATTCCCCTCTTTTTACTATATTAATTATCTCCATGAATTAGATGCATTTTTGACTTTAAGTTGTTTGTATGGTTCTGAATAATTTTATTTGTTATTTTTCAAAAATTATTATAGTGTAATTTTATTTTTTGGTGATGGTGACCCTGTGTGGTTGCAACAAGTAATGAAATACTAAAATCAAGGCTCCGGTACGCTTTAAGTACGTCGGAAATTTAAAAAAAAAAATTGGTACTACTAAAAAGTACATATTTCAAATAGTGAGTTTCCAAAAAAAAAATTGTGGATAACTGGCTATTAATCCAAAAAATCAAATTAAAAGTTGCAATTTTATAGGTTAAATGGGTGTTATTCTATTACCCAAAGATGGTAATTTCGAAGTTTTATCACTTGTATATTAAAGTAACTTACTTTTTCTAATATTTTAACTAGAATTGGATACGGAAAATGAGGTCATTTGTTAAATTTGTTCTGTTTAATCTGCTTTTAACTATGTAAATTATCGTTTCCTGCCATATTTTGTTGACGCCTTTATAGTTGAAGATAACACATTATCATAAACCTATAATTGTAATTTGCAACGTTGCCATATTGAAATTTTATTTTGTCAAATAATGTTGCTGTTAAAAAAAAATGTGGGTAAATATTGGGAAGACGCACCTTTCTTAAAACTCCATTTTTTTCAAAACCTTAATTTTAGGCTTTAGGAAAGAGAGTACTTTTTAAATACACCAGCATAAAATCCATAAATTATTATTTTTTATTTTTTTAATTATTGGGGACTTATAAGGAACATTTATGTAAACTTATTCTTGAATTATATCTGCCATGCTTCATCATCACAAATACGTGGTGTTGCCAAGTGTCTAATTAATCAATGAATAAGAAATATAAAAAGTATCTTATTTTAGGTATATTTTCAAATAGCTTAAGAAGCATTAGTTCTATAATTTATTTCATTGCTCTTCCTAAAACACTTTTCCAACTTCCAATTTCCAGTCACATCCGACGATTTATTTAACCATTTCGACTGAATTGTTGTAGTACATAATAATTAAATATTAGATCTATAAAATAATAAACAATGTACATTTCGAAAAAATTTTAAACATAATTACTTTGTGTTTTCCAGCTTTTTTAAAACAAGGAAATTTATTTCTTCACAAATAATGCTGCCAGCCAAATTCAATGACTACTATCAACTAAAAAGGATAGCCAAATTAGTTCAATTTCTGCTGGGTTAGCTGTGACGTCACTAGGAGGATACTTTCAGCTTCATCCTATTTAAAACATATATCAGTACACCCTATTTTTTAATTACGACCTTTAATATTTTTTAACTTTAAAATAAAAAGTATTTTAGATAATCAAAAGATTATTGGACCTAGAGAGATTATTAAACACAGCAATTGAACTAATTTCGCTATCCTCTTTAGTTAATACTAGTCGTTGGCTTTGGCTGGCTGGCATCATTTTTCAAACAACTAAATTCCCTTGCTTCAAAAAAGTTCATAACCTTTTGAATAACACAAAGTAATAGAGGACTTCTATACAAGGGAAGTGCAACCAACTTGACAAAATTTTTTTGACACTAATGACATAAGAAATCGGGTCACATAAAGAGGCTGTTTTTTTGTTAAATTTTTGGTTTTTCTTATCTACTTTTATGCCGTTTAGATAACATGTTATACCCGTAACGTAAAAAAGACTTTTTATTTTAGGGTATTTTACATTTAAAGGTTGAAAACATTTGTCAATATCAGCTGTCGATAATGTCAAAACATAAGCGTAGCATTGCATTTTATTTTTTGTTAATAAAAGTCTATTTCTGCGTCTCCCGCTTTCTTAAAACATTTTTTTTTATTTGGTGTTATTTATTCGATTGCAAAATGTTGCTGCTACGAATACAAGTACTATACAATATACAACCAACATACAATACTAGTTACGTTATGCCCATCTATGGTTACGCCTGTGTTCTACCATCAACATAATTGACAGCTGACAATGACAAAATGTTTCAACCTTTAAATGTAAAATACCCTAAACTAAAAAGTCTTTTTCACGTTACAGGTACAAGGTATGCAAATGGCATGAAAGTAGATAGGAAAAACCAAAAAGCAAACTAAAAAACAGCCTCTTTATGTGACCCGATTTCTTATGTCATTAGTATCAATTTTATTTTGTCAAGTTGGTTGCACTTCCCTTGTATAGAAGTCCTCTATTAAGTTTAAAAGTTTTCGAAAAGTGCTATGTTTATTACTTTATAGATGTTGCAATATTAATATTTAATTATTATAATATATTACAACAATTCAATCAAAATGGATAAGTAAATCATTAGATGTGACTGGAAATTAGAAGTTTTTTTAGAAAGAGCATTGAAATAAATTAAGTGTTTGGAAATGTGCCAAAAATGAGATACTTTTGTATATTTCTTTTTGATTAATATTAATTGGGTACATGAGGCCTTAATATAAAAAAAAAGTTGATTTATGGGATTCCCAGTGGTATATTTTAAAAGTACTCTTCTTCTCAAAGTCTAAAATGTAACTTTTGTTAAAAAAAACTGGGTTTTTAAGAGGACCTCTTCCCAATATATACTTATTTTGTAGTGATATAGCTTAAAATAAAAATACGAGGTCTTGTTACTAACTGAATATCTTGGCAACCCTGCTATGGAAGTCACAAAAAGCTTAGAATAGAAACATCAAAATTTTGTAACTTTGATTTTTCTCAGAAAATAGTGGATAATCCACAATTTAAAATTCGCATCTCAGGATCCCTCGACAGACCCTATAAAATGGGTACTTTTTAGTGTTTAAATTTGTTTTTCCAAATTCCGACGTACTTAAAGCGTAACGGACCCTCAACAAGAGATTTATATTATATTTTATTAAAATATATAGAATATTCTCTTTAGGTTGGGTTCTGGTAATGGATCCTGAGGTGCGAATTTCATAATTTTAGCATTAATATATTGAAGTAACTTACTTTTTATAATATTTTAACTGAAATTAAAAATGGAAGAATACGTTTCATTTGCTATTTTTATTTATATTATAATAAAATGCAATATTTTGACTGATTTAACCTAACTTTTCATCATTTCCTTCCATAAAACCTAAAATAAAGTGATTCATGAAATTGTCAGTTCTTGAAACATAAGGCCCTCGAGTTTGCAACGTTGCCATACTATATTGTTGATTTTTATCACTGATAATTTCCAAGTTTAAGATTTCTGTTTGAATGAGAAGAAAATAAGTTTTAGGTGAAAATATAATGTGTTATGTGAAACTTTTAATTTCAATTTGAGCTGTGTACAGGCCGTTGGAGTCTATGCCGGTAGGCGTAGCCAGGTATGGATTAAAATTTTTTGGTGGCGGCAAAGCCGCCACGCTAGCGGAAGTCGTTGTTTCCTTTTGAGTAGAAGAAAATTTAAAAAAAGTTGTCTAGGTATTATATGTTAAGTGATTTAATTAATTTCATTTTTTAATTTTGTATGTAGTTTTTTTGAGCTGCATTTTTAAAATTAATTTGGTTGATATATTAATTTTTTCATTTTATATACGATTATTACCATACTTATCTTTTTGAAGCAAACGAAAAATGTATGAATTTTGATTATAATGTGTTATGTGAGACTTTTCATTTCAATTTGAGCTGTGTCCAGGCCGTTGGAATCTATGCCGGTAGGCGTAGCCAGGTATGGATTAAAATTTTTTGGTGGCGGCGAAGCCGCCACGCTAGCGGAAGTCGTTGTTTCGTTTTGAGTGAAAGAAAATTTATAAATAAGTTGTCTAGGTATTACATATGTTGAGTGATTTAATTAATTTCACTTTTTAATTTTGTATGTAGTTTTTTTGAGCTGCATTTTTAAAATTAATTTGGTTGATATATTAATTTTTGCATTTTATTTACGATTATTACCGTACTTATCTTTTTAAAACCAAACGAAAAATTTATGGATTATAAATTTAAATAATCCTTAAACTTATAATTTTATTAACAACTTGGCAACGTTTGTTATTTTTAAGACAGAAACGTCAGAAACTGTCATTTAGAGTAATTAGGCATTCCAAACTGAATGACTACCAGTGGGTTTTGACAGGTTATGATGTGGCAAAGTTATGGCAACTCTGTAGGCCTGGTGATTTGACAAGGTGAGTGAAATAGATAGTTACATAGATTGATCATCCCTATTTTTTACAATAAACATAAGCTTATGCCTTGAAGTAAAAATATAAGCAATTATTATTTTTTAAATATCTAAAGTCTGAAAATTGGTTTTAAAACACATTTTTGCTAAACTGATTCAAATTAATAAATATTTGCCAGGCAATATGGCTGCTCGCAAACGACCAGCTTCGAGCAATGTATATAACATATATGTATCATTGACCCTGTTAATGACAACATGACAACAGGGTTGCCATATCTAAACTGTCAGTACCCACTGGTAGCCATTTGGACAGGTCGTTGGAATGCCTAATTGTTTTGTGATTATAACCTGTAAAATTGGGATTTTTAATTCAATTTTTTTCGAAAAATACTGCTTCATCCATATTTTTTCGAAAATTTACTATAGAAACTAGTTACTTTTGAGTGTTTAAATTTTTTTGTGAATTTCGCACCTCAGGATCCTTTACCGGACCCTTAGGTTGCCATGATAAAGTAAAAACAGTTCTTCTCGCATATACCTCCTATTAGATATAAAGGTTTGCTACCTTCTATAAAGCACTCTTGTGTAAGAATCAATCCTACCTTTCAGTTTATCTATTCCTTCATCCTCTTGTTTATTATCCTCTTCTTTGCTTGTGATGTACTGCATATAAACATCCTCAGCCACGATAGTTGTAGCAGGATTTGGGCCTGGTTTGTCATTAGAAGCCTCTCCGAATTTTTTCCAAGTTTTTCTTAAAGCAATAGATTTTGATACAATACGTTTTTCGATTTTGTACGTCCTTACAATCTTAACTTTCTTCTCGTCCTCATTATACTTGTATTCTGTAACGATTTTGAGGCCGTTTTCAAAAACTTCTGTTGAAGGTGGCAGTGAGCCACCCTCCATTTCCACCTCATCTGCCCAACTTGATTTCACCTCTTCGGCGACTGGCATTGTGTTTGATTTCTATTTAAATTCACTTGCAGCTTTTTTTATCTATAAAACACACGTACGTATGTTATTTGGCGTTAACCTAAAAGAAATTTTAGAAAATTGAAACATGGAAACAGTGACGTTGACAATTAATTGACATCCTCAGTTGCTGTCATTCGTCATTCTGAGTGTCTACCAACCTTAAAGTTTTTATAATAACTGTTTGGGAACGGCTGGACTTCTTATCGTTTCATTTTATGAAAATGGAAAAAATTTTAATAAATAAAATGCGATTTCCAAGTTTTTTTTACATTAATAAAACTTGGCATTTTATAATAATTCATTAAACATATATGTCAACTGTGCTTGCTTCAACTAGACAGTAAAATTATTTTGAAATGGTTGAATTAATTTACTTTTTTAATTTTGCTGCTAACCGTTCAATTTTCAGTTGAAGAGTCCCTCGATAACCAGGTTGGAAACTTTTAATAATAAAGTAACATTATTTGAAATCATGTAACGTGAGAAAATGCCGGGAAATCAATTGAAAACCTGTCATAAGTGTCAGATATGTGTATGGTGTGTTGCCGATATTCAAGGCTAAATTGAAACGTCAAATATTTTTGTAAAAGAATGTAGGAAAAATTAATAGAAATATTTGTGTTTATATTAGTACCTTGCACAATAATATTAAATATAAAATGGATTTCACGGCAGATAATTTAGAAAAAGCCGTTACCCTATTTTACCGTACGGAAGCCCATCAGCAAGCAGAAGCTCATCAATGGTTAACAGAAGCTCAAAATTCTCCTTTAGCTTGGAGTTTTGTTTGGGAACTTCTTAGTCCGCATAGAGTAATATTATATTTTATGTATTATTTAAAATTTATGTGTCTATCGTACATTGAATGTATACTACTGAAATAATGAAAAATTTGTAGATAATCTAAAAGTGAAATAAATTTGTATTTTTTAATTATAGAATACCATATATAAATATAGGTGAGTCTATCGTTAATAAAGTATATTAATATATGAATATTTTAGAGTTCTGAAGTACAGTTTTTTGCTGCTACCACTCTACATGCAAAACTTATGAAACATTGGAATGAAATTCCTGAAGATCACTATGAGTTATTAAAAAAGCGAATTTTAGACTCTATTATCAATTATGCTATGGGCCCTAAAATTATTCTGAATCGCCTATGTATCACAGTACGTAATAGTTTTGATGCTTTCTGTAATATTTCTTACATAATCTAGTTGTCATTATATGCAAATGTGTTTCAAGGTACCTGTATCGCAATAACAAATCCAAATTTATTAATGATGGATGAATTACTTAATTATTAATATGTTACAGTTGTCTGCATATATTATACACACCGTCCCAACACACTGGCCAAAAGCTTTTGAAGAACTTGTTTCAAGTTTTCAACCACAATATTTGCCAAATGTTGAACCAGAAAGAGTCATTTGGATTCTGCTAGAAATATTGACTGTGATACCAGAAGAAGTAAGTATAATATGTTTTTTATGTATTGATAGATAAATACTATCTACCATGGTTAAATAGTACAATCATGAGAAATGTTTTCTCTACATTATACTGAGAATTATACTTAACATATATATTATTATTTTTTTTTTTTCAGTTTCAAAGAACAACTTTAGCTTTAAACCAAAGAAACAGAGTGAGGGCGGTTCTTCAAGATGTCTCTAAAGATATATTGAAAGTTGTTGAGATGTGTTTGATGCCTTTACCAACAGCGGGGTAAGGGTTTGTACATAGGGTGTCCAAAAATTGTACATACAAGGAGCTACCACATATATATGGGTTCAAAATAAGTTGATTTAACTGAACTTGCTTCGTTTGGCCACTAGAGGTCAACAAAGTTAAGAAAAAAGGTTTTTTTCTTTAATCTTTAGAATTCAGTAATTTTACCAAATCAAATTGTATGAATACTAGGTATTTTATGGCCAATTAAAAGCCGCATGAAAAATGTTTCTATTAATAATAATACTCTCCGTAATTCACCCCCTTACGAGTGAATTTCAACCCCTGAAGTCGACTGAACGACTTGTGTAGAGGAAGGGACGGCTATTATTATTACTATTTGCCGTGATGCTCCAGGGCGACTTAAAGATGATTGATGGTGCCATTTGACTTACAGGTGAGGAAAACCTCACCCACCATCATTGCGATCATAAGTGTCTTATTAGTGGGAGGACAATGGACAATTTCCCTAATTTTTTGAAATTTTTGACTGGTTAATATAGATAATAAAAGTAACTGGTAGGAGATACATAATAATAATAGGTACTCTTCCTAATTATTCACCCCCTTATGAGTGAATTTTAACCCTTGAAGCCAACTGAGGGACTTGTGTAAAATAATAGTGATAGGAAAAACATCACAGAAACATTTAAACACACGAAAAAACCTAAATTGTTTCATCGGGATTTCTTTTTTTTATTTCACATTAACTGTAGCAAAAAATATCACATAAGTTAAGTACATAATGTGTTGGCATTACTGCACATATATATAGTGTATTGGTGCTTTAAGCATAATATTGGTTTGAGCTCTTTTACAATGAAATAATGTTTTATCTAGTTGTTAACCTAGGTACAAGAATATTAAGAAAGTTAATATAGTCAATACCCATTACTGGATATTTTTGTACTCTTTCAAGGTCTATAATGTAAGATCATATATATTGGACTCTATATCATTGAACCGTAGTCCAGTTTAGATTTAACCAAACCGATACAAAGATGAAAGTGCAGCTAGATTTGTAAAATTCCTACAATTTCTAACGATGAAGGCATATGCACTTTAAACGGAATTTAGGATTTTGTTGATGTGAAAATTACATGTTAACTGACTACTGAATTGAAGTAGACCCCAAGATCTCTGACATTTTCGGATCTTTCCTAGGTAACCTAATCAATGTTATAGTGATAGTTATAATTCTACTTTTGGATACACATATAAAGAAAGATAATTAACACCAATTTTGTAAATTGTTAATTTGGTCTTGAAGTGCAACACAATTGTCCAGATATAGTTGAATGCCGAAATAATAAACAGTAATTTAATGTGTGAAGAATGCTGTTATATTTCATTGCGCCAAAGTTTGGAGAAATGTTTGGAGGCTACCCGACAAGGGGTTTTTTTCAGTGGTGGGCATCTGTATCTGTAATGTGTGGAGGTTGGGTTACCCCCACGGCACTTAGGCCTCATTAGGCCCATTGTGCATCCTCCTAAGATGATAGGCACCTCGTAACTCGTGAGCCAGCCTACAGATTTAATGTAGTTGACAACGTCGCCAAGAGGTGCTTCTCTTATATCGGCCGGTGTTAGCCGATACTCGCCGGACACAAATCTTCTAATAAATGAGAGCGTCGAGCAATCGTAAAGGATTTGCTCGATGGTCTCATCTTATTCCCACCCTCTGCAGAGTGCGGTTTCTGACAGCCCCATGATATGGAGATGCTTTCGTACTTGGCAGTGACCAGTAAGAATGCCTGTGACTAGGCGCAGATTCTGTATAGTCATATTTGTTTGCTACAGTGTTATCAGGATAACTTAAGAGCTCCCTGGCAACTATGCAGTTTCATCCCATCTTTCCTTGAATTTCACAAGGGAATGTTCTTTAATTAGGTATGTCATTACCGATTTTGTCAGGCGAATAGAAGGGCCAGGTCCAAAAAGTATTTGGTTGGCTGCTTTCTTAGCTAGTGAATCAGCAAAACGGTTACCTTTCGATGTGGCATGACCTTTGATCCATCTTAAGGTGACCACATTGTGGATGGATACTTCGGCCAAAGCTTCGTGGCATTCTAGTACTAACCCTCAGTAAATTCGTGGTCTGTTCAGGGTGAGTAGTGTTTGTCTGCTATATGTATAGATGAGCATGTTTCTTCCAGTGATATTGTTTCTGGTTATTTCTTTTGCTGCTATGAGAATCCCCGTTAGCTCTGTTTGAACTACACTGGCACTATTGCTCACAGCCCATTTTATGTTTAGGTTTAAGAATCTGGAGTATATTCCACATCCTGAGCCTTGTTTTGTTTTAGAACCGTCGGTGTAGATATTATATTATAACTTTATATGGCTTATGGAAGATATATCTCGGTGAGTGAGTGGGAGCGTATCGAGCGCCTCCTGCCAAAAGTGACATCTCGCCTCAACAGATCCTACATCAGGTTCTATTCCAACCGTGCGGAGGCGTTGTCATTGTTGTCAGAACAACCTCTTTGATGTAAATATCAAGGGGAGTGAGACTAAGAATAACTTCCATCTCTCTGGTCGGTTTTGTTTTCATGGCTCCTGTTATCTTGAAACATGCTGTCCTTTGAATTTGTTCTAGTTTACGGATAGCTGTTAATTCTTGGGTTTACGATACCCAGACAACTGCACCGTATGTTCTTATGATATGCATAGTTCTTATGATAGCCGTGTAAGTCCATGCGACGACTCTGGGGTAGAAACCCCAGGTGCGCCCCACGGTTCGGCGGCATTATTCATAAGCAATTTATGCTCTTTTAGCTATGTTTTCTAAATGCGAGTTCCATGTTAACTTGCAAGGTCATCAGCAAACATTAACCTATTTCAGTTTCAAGAGTCACGCAAATAATAAAGATCCTAAATCGGATTCTTAAGGGACGCCGCTAATTGCAAAATAGTTAACGCCATTGTAGGTAACATATTGCCTTCTTTGATGCAAATAAGATTAAATAATTGTCAGATAAGTATCATTATTTCCCAAATGATATAACTTATCAAGTAAAATTGTGTGACTTACTTTGTCAAAGGCTTTGGAGAAATCAGTATATATCGTATCAAAGTGTCCCCTTGCGTCTATTTCACATGGTAATTGTCTTAAGACTTATAGTAGTTGATCTATGATTCATGAATCCATGTTGATCCGATATCATATTCTTTGCTGACTGATATAATACGGTTGCCTCCAACAACTTTGCAAAGTTGTTTAAAATTGAAATAGGTCTGTAGTTGTTAATAGAAGAGCGATCTTGTGATTTATAAATAGCACAAATTTTATCAATTTTCCAAAAATCGGGAAAAACTTATGTTTTGAGTAATATATTAAAAATTATTTGAAGAGGATACAATAATGTTCTCACGCAATCCTTTAACAGAAACGAAGGTATTTTATCAGGGCCTGAGGTAAATGTGTTTTTCAATTTCTTATTGGCACTAATAATCTCGGTTTCTGTTATGGATTTGCAGCTTATGTGTAACATAATTTCGTTATTAGAGGTGTAGATATTTTCTTGTTCAACATTAGGTTGAGTATACTGCCATCCTATCAAGAAAGATTCTATCTGCAAAATTAGCAGTTTTTTATCCCTGCTTTTATCTACATTTTATATTTCTTGATACCGAAACAAATATCCTACTTGCAACGTTAAGTTCCTAAAACGTTAGAGTTTCACAAAAAAGTTTTAGAAGATAATAAATATATGTCAGCGAAAAATAGTTAAAAATTCGATTATTTCGAAAAATAACAAATTTCCAGGTAGGACCTTTCTTGCTAGGACGGCAGTATAAACATGTAAACGAAAAATTGCTAAAGTCATTCACATTTGACTAATGACAGTTATATGCTTCAGATTCAAAGGTCCTTCTACCATGAATTCTTCTAGTGGTTTTATTTTTGTGTAGAAACATCCAAAAAGATGTGGCTTCTTGTGTTGGCCGATCCTGAATATTTACAAGGTATCGTGGATATGACTCAAGTATTTTAAATTTAATTGTCCTGTGTTGATTAAATTCTTGCCAATAAGCAATATCGGTTTCTTTAAATTTTCTATGTATTCTTTCTTTTGTTTTGATAAGCATTTCAGTTATGTTTCACATAGGATATTGATGTTTAAAACGTTTAGTAATCGAAACATGATTATCAATAATGTTATAAAACTTATTATAGACGGTTTCTACAGAAACTTTACTAGCTGTAAGATGATTTTAAAGTCTCAATTTGTACACAATTTAGAATACAGTGAATTATAATTAGCTTTTTTGAAATTGCATTAATTAACTTAATTTATAATGAATGATATAAGAGATATGCATAGATATGGATGAAAATCATCTTCATTTACCAGAGGTGCATTGTCTCGTGTTGCAGTGCAGCTGGGGCGTGCGGTCCATGAAAGCGGGGGAAGCACCGCTTCCCTACACTTTGAGATTTAAAAATAAAAATTTGTCAGTTTACAATGCATAGAAATTAATATTAAATTAGGTACTATGTTTTCTCTGAAACATTACGTAAACTTCGTAAATGTACTAACAATTCATTGGTGTAAAGTGTAAACGCACGCACCACTTATGAGAAAATTAATTGTGTAAACGCACACACCATATACTTCGAGTCCGTCGGCGGAAGCGCGTCTTGAAAAAGCCGGCTCATCTTCCAATTGATTTCGCTTCGTTTTATTGACCCTGCTTTGCAGCGACAGTAGTCAGTCTGTTTGGGCACGTGAAATACGGTCGAGAGGCAGCGATTTTTACGTCGCCTTACGCATTTTCCAATTCGCACCGCGAATCGACGTGTAAGGAAAATCGTAGACTTCAGATAGATTTCGGTTTGTTTTTCGTAGTTGTTTTTCTTTTTGTAAAATGGAACTATGCACTGTGTCTGTGAACAATAATAATGTGGTAAATTGTATCTGTATTGTGTGCTCTTTATTGAAAAAGGGATTTTCAAGTAGAAATTTTGAAGAGAAAACGGACATTATTAATTC